TTAAAAATAATAATTAAAAAAAAGGTCCGGGTACCATCACCCGTTGTCTCGAAGGAACCTCGACGTGTTTCAAGGCAAACCCCTCTCGACAGTAGTTCTAGATTTCAAAGGAAACTGAAGTGAAATCTCCTCGGGACCACTGACCCAGTGCTTTTATAAAGTTTAGTTGTAAAACTCCGTCTTTTTTGCTGTTTATTTTGCCGCTACGACTTCGAAATTCTGAGATTTTCGCACAAATCCTAATTGACGCAACATATACCGGCGAGTGTTTTTTTTTTTTTTTTTTTTCGGATTTATCCGAAAACACAAAAGCCTATTTAGAACATGTATCAGTGATTGCCACGCGCGTTGCCGAGCGAGCGCATGGCCAAATGGTTACCACGCTTGGCTCTCGCGCGGAGTCTTTCGGTTCCATACCAGGGGAGCGGACTCCTCTTTTATTTATTCTTTCAACGTGACATTCTCGTAAGTTCGAAAACCTTGTCTTTTGATCGAGTTATGAATGTGCTACGCGCCGAATTCGTTCTCCGTCGAACGTTCCACAAACCCACGGGGGTACAAAAGGTGCTCCGAGTGGCGGTCCGGACTCTCACCCCAGCCCTCGATGCCGCTGTTTCGCCGACATCGACGCCTGCGACGCTATTCTCTGTTGTCTCGGGCACAAGTTCGCCCCCTGAAACTTTTAGTTTCTTCAGTTGTTCGCCGCCTCATCATTTGTCATTCGTGACAATGTCCTGCGTCTTTTGCGTGCTAATGAACCATTCTGGTAAACCAGATTTGCGCAGATGTATAATTGTCGTTGTTACTGACGTCGATACAAATTACGCAATGCGGAAATATCTTCAAAGGTAATTGAACTACATTTCTATGTATTTGTACTCTACTCAAGATACTTTACACTGAAAGTAACTTGAGCAGTATTTTACATACTTTATGAAGCAGGTATCTAGTAACTTAACTCGATTACTTTTCTCGAGTATTTTGTCCAGCACTGGTGTTTTCACAGCGGCGTTGGAATCGCAACCGCGAAGCGGATCCGCTTGTTTTCGTCATCAAGCATGCGTGGAATTCTATTGGATCTTTAAGCAACCGCGTTCGCATAGACCATTCGTTGTCGAGCAAAGCGGAAGGAGAGTACTCTTTCACGAAACATTTAGGTTTACTCTAGTTGAGAACCGTTATTTATTACGATCCAACCAGCAACTTCTGCTAAAAAGACCGAAAAAAAGAACGACTGTCAACGTTAAAGCGAGGGATTTATTAATTAGACGATGGTCGCGACAATCCTCGACTGAGAGCCGCGGAGGAACAGGTGCGGCGCATAGTTTCCCAACGCTGCCAAGGTAACGCGTACGCACACCCAGCACAATACCGTTTCACCGTAACGTACGCGCAAAGAAATTGAAAGCACAAAGTGCACAATAGTGCTCTATACTCCGTTTCACAGCGAAGGCACAAAGACCACGAGTGCCATGAAGATGCCCTTATGGCGAAGCTCCATTAGCTTCATGGTCAGGTAGAACTCTCAAGATTTGGCGAGCAAAAGAAAATATTTATCGGTCGTGCTTCGATTGCGTGTCATTACGCTTTTTCACATTGCTCGCGGAAGGTTAGCTGGCAGATCTTTATTGGTGAAGTAAGATTTCTAGGAAAATTATATCGAGAAGAAAAAGAGCTGCAAGAAAAAACACTATTGTCGTTTCCACAGCGCGAGCACCATTATTGTTTTAAGCCTGTTGCGTTATTTCGGATGTTCTGTTACCACGCGAGAATAGATGCTGACGCACGCTTAATTGTGAACGACCGTGACTCGTGCGTAATGGAATGCTGCACTGAAGACTGCTGCAGTGCACTGCAGTGGCGCCATGGGCGCCCCCTGGACGAGAGGGCAAGCCCGTTGAGTAGTAGCGTCGCTTTCAGTCGGACTTAAAGTGAATCTAAGTACGCGCCGAGAAGCTAACGAAGAGTAGGAGACGTGAACTCGCAGGTACGTCAAAACGCCGAGCTCTGGAATGATTGGAATGATTGGTGGGTACATGTAGGGTGCCTTCATGTCCGCTTCGCCTCGGGATGATATGCCATCTGGCCATTTTGTTCCGAACATTTTTTTTTTTTTATTCGAAGGGCGTGATAAAGTATGTCCCTCCACGCGCTCTTGGCGTTGACCGTGCTACGGGAACATCTTCTTTTTAAACCATTTCCTTGTAGTTTTCCTCCGAACGCGTGCTGTCGGCATCGGGCACTACAAAGGCTGGCATCACTCTAAACAGAAGGGCATTGAGGCATTTTCGGTAAATCTAAATCTTAGGGCTGGGCGTCCATTAAAAGTTTTAACCCGATTAATCGCCATCCTTTAATCGATTAATTAATCGATTAATCGGTCTGGTTCATTTTCCTGCATAATATTTTTAAAAAGTCAAAATTAATATTTGTTTCTTCTTTTTTTGCTTTCGCTGATTATGGGGTAAAGGCCACAATATACAATTTTGATTGTGAATCAACCTCGATGTTTAGTTAAGAACATGTTCAAAGGTAATTCACACACAGATTATTACTCCTGCGGCATGAGGCGAAGAGGACCGCTGGCATTCTCCGGCATGAGCGACCTCCATTGATTCTTCACGATCGTCTCTGCTGCGCTAAATGGGCACTCGACCGGCGTTCAAGTGGCCGGAACACGTGTAACCTTCTGCACTGGTGATGAGTTACGAATCTTGCCTTTACAGTTTAGCTTAGGCAGAATTTTGACCTAAAGTGTGCCCTTCATACAGGTATACTCGTCCGTCTGCTTGATGAAAGTCTGTAATTTTTACTTTTTTTGATTCGTAAAAATTTTACCGGTTAACCGGTTAAAAAAATTAATCGCGTTTAAAGCATTAGTCAATTAATCGTTAGGTTAATCCATCAATTTCCCAGCCCTACTAAATCTATAGAATATTTACTGGACGCCATATTTGAGGGCGATGTTTAGGGTGCATGCTCAGAACGAGCTCTCATTAATAGCCCGCTGAGACCAGCAATCTTGATAGTGCCGAATGCACGTTGCAGAAGCACTGCCGAAGCTCGCCGTCAGCCTGCGCTCCATTTCACAAACAACTGCAGTGCAAACAAAGGCATGAGCACGAGCGCGTGGCTTTGGAAAGCGCCTCCTATATGCACGAGTTCTCGTACACACAAGAGCATTCGGCTGAGCTATATAGGGTCACGCGCCTGTGCCTTTGTCTTTGCTGCAGCCATTTGTGAGATCGAGTATCGGACTTTGTCTCCGTCGAACGCAACAAAGCGCCGACCGCTGGCGTTCGGCATTTCGCTTCCGCATTCAAACGCGTTCGACGAGTGCAGTGGAGAAAAACGCAGCTAGCTTTCTGTCTACCCCCTAATCATTCCAATCGGAGCTGGCCGTTCTGACGTCCGGTGCGCGCTCTCGTTTCCTTCTCTTCCTCAGTTTTTGCGCGCATATACACTTCGTGAACTACGATGAAATCAGGTGTCGACACATAATTGACATCAGTGGCGTAGCAACTTGTTTTTGAGTGGGGGGGGGGGGGGCGCAAACCAGACCCCCCCCCCCCTTACCCCCCCCCCCCCCCCCCCCCCCGGACAGGGGACGGTGCCCTAGGTATCCCTGTGGCGCCGCCGGCTAGTGTTTGCCCTGCCCAGTGGTGGCTGTCTCAGAGGGGGGGGGGGGGGGGGGGGGCAAAACACATGCCTTCCCCCCGGTTGGTACGCCCATGATTGACATCCTAGTGTGAGCGGCACATCCGGGTTTTGTGTCGTTCTCGAAATAGCAGTCGTCGAAAGCTGTCTCGAATTGCACGAAGGTTCATAGGTGGAAAACGGGTCTGCCTTAAAAATGGAGTCTGCTTGTCTCAGTACACTCGTTTCAACACCCCAAGAAACAACATTCGAGTTCGCCATTTCTTCGGCACGAAGCGTCGCCGAACACCGACTAGCAAGGCACTCGCTCTCAGTATACGAGCTGCGCCAATTTCACGCCGAACGCTTGCACGGCCCTTGTGTCCACTACATGCTCAAAGCACAGGCCCTAATAATGGCGGACTCGGACCATTAGCGCAGTAGCTACTAATGGAGCGGAATAGAGCCACTAAATGAGCTACGCTTAGAGTATCGGCACTCCGTTCCCTGACGTTGTTGTCGGCGCCGCCATATTGGTGCTTGTGCAGAACAGGCGTAACTGCCGATAGTCATGCTTCAAAAGTGCGACTTCCTCAGCATAAGAGTCGGTGTTAGGAAGCTCATGCAATATTGCTTTGCTTTGTCGCGAACTGTTTAAACATTTGTGCAGGACGGAAAATCATTTACTGTAATTTCAGATAAAGCTTCAGATAACTGGCAACTATAATTTCAAGCCACAATATGGGCAAGTGTCGTTACTCTGAAGCGTGCCATATATAGTGGCACTAACACGGACTTTTGAAGAATGTATTTTTGAGGCAGTATTTCGTTACATATATGGAACGTATCACGATAAAAGAAAAAGAGAAATATCGCAGCACAGAGTCAGTGTAAACGAGATATCCACAGAATGTCGATAACGACTTCAGCGCGACGGTAGAGAAAGATATCCTAACGGTAGGAGCGGTTTCTTTGAGCACTTGCGCGCAAACGCCTGCGCAACTACACATAAAAAAAAGAAAAAGAGAAACGTCCCGCGGAGCAGCTTGAATGAAAGCGTACAACTCCGTGTACACGTTCTTCTCTCTTCCTCGTACGGACCAATCAGGAGAGAGCGCCGGCAGCGCCCCCCTCTTCATCCTCCTCCTCCTCCGTGCGAGCGCCAGGAACGAAAAACGCGAGCAAGCTCGCAGACGACTTCGAGCCGCCGTCGTCTGCTGTCGCGAACCTCCAGCTCGGCACGGCACGGCTCATTTCGACCGGCTTCCCCGCTACTTTGGATTACGGAAAGGAACACCGGTTTCCTCGCCTCTTCTCTTCTGTGCCCGCGGCGTTCTTAAGCAACGGCAGCAACCATGGACCTCATGTGCATCGAGTCTCCACATTTCGGCAAGGTTTTGAGGGCGCCGTCTGACAGCACCATCCTGGGTGACAGGACAGTGATGGCTGGCATGTTGGACCTCCAGTCCAGGTACACGGTCACTTGTGACTACTGCCGACAGATTCAGACCGAAGTCCTACCCCCGATGCGCAAAGTCCTCGCCCAGTGGATGTCCGAGGTAAGCACCCCGAAGCTTTATTTTGTTTTCTGTCTTTTCGATTTCGAAGTTTTAAAAGTAGTCTGCGGTTTTGGAAACTTTTTTTTTTTTTCGAATCTAATCGTACGACACCGTTATCCCATACTGCGCTTGCGCAGCAACGGGCAGCCGATGGAGACGCTTAAAAGGGCTGGATTCGTATGGGCCGATTGAAAATTGAATAGATCATAGTGACCGATCGAAACATAATAATATTAGTAAAAGTAATAGTAATAATCTTTAACAGCTCAGGAGAGTCATGGCACCGCAAAAAGACGACAGCCCGTGCCACGGTGACCCGCGGTGCCACGTCTAGTGAGGGTGATTTTGAGATGATATAATATACGACATGCAAGATGAGGAAGACTTGCTCTTGTAGACGTCGCCCGAAACCGGTGCGCGAATCTCGGGAGGTTCGGTGGCGGTTCATGCGAGTCAAGGTAACCTCCGTGGGGCTGTACGATGAAGGTTCAAGATGGTAACGCTTTGGTGGTTTGATGGCGGAGTCGCTCACTCGGGTGAAGGTGGACATGTTCTAGCAAAGTGCCATGGAAGCGCCGATGAACTCACGCGTGTTTTCTTTTTCTTTCGCAAGGTGTGCGAAGAACAGTCCTGCGAAGACATCGTGTTCCCCTGTGCGATGAACTATGTCGACAGGTTTCTGGCGAGGACAGACGTCAAGAAAAGCCAACTCCAACTCCTCGGTGCCGTGTGCCTGTTGATCGCCTCCAAGATGAGGACGTCTCGACCGCTGGCCCTCGAAGCACTCGTCTACTACACGGACTATTCGGTCACGGCGGAAGAGCTTAAGGTGAGCTTCGCTCAACTTCTGTTACCCTGACTAAGCTATTTATAATTTCTTGTCGGGGATGTGTGTGTGTGTGTGTTTGGGGGGGGGGGGGGGGGAAATAGGTGGATAGGCAATGGTGGCCTAGTTTCGAATTTCAGCGATTCGAAAAATCACTTTCGTGACTGGTACGGTTACGTGGTGAAGGTTTCCACGAGTATCCCTTGTAGGAATTGTACAGCTTCAGCAAAACTAACAGCGAAGTCGATTTCGCAGGCGCGTTCATGTGGTTTTGAACGACGCTGTCACTTGACGAGCGCGCTCGCGCACCAGGTTCGCTCTAAGCGTGGCGCCCGCCCAAGTACTATACTCCGTTTCACCTTACGTTGTACCGCAGCGAAGGCTAGAAGCGCGAGCTCATAGCGTTGGCAGCTGCCCTTGGTGCACGAGAGCTTGTGCCGCCGAGATGTGCTCTAGAGCTAGGAGCTCGCGCTTGTAGCCTTTCCTGTGGTACAACACAAGGTGAGAGAGTATAATACTATGTATTTTTATATTTTGTTTTTGCTGCGTATTGGCGTACACAGCCTTTGAGCTTTCGTTGCGTTCACAAATTAAAACTGCATAATCTATGTTCTCCGAAGAGACACAATTAACGATGTTGCCCCGAAAAGCTTCTTGAAACAGCTGAAGCCTGACAGTACGTAGTTTTTGTTTTCAAACTCAAAACATTACACGTCCAACAAACAACTCCCCCCATTTACGCACTTCTGCTACGATCACAGACAAAGAGAAGAGACAAAAGGCGCGATGAACGAAAGAAATGAGGCAAGAAATAATCAAGAACAACGCACAGACAGCTTCAGCTTTGCAATACCGTAGAAATCCAGCCACCAGCACAACCCAAAACAAAACTTTTCGCTCTCGGCGCGCCCGGCAACAGTGCAGCAATGCCAGTGCAGAAGCTGGCCTTGGTCTCCGCCACCGTGGTTTCCCCCATTCGTGCGGCACGTGGGCAGGCACGTCGCGCCCTTCTGAAGTGCTGCACCGCCGTCGAAGCACCACCGTTTTTTTTTGTTGTTTTTTTTTCTCTCTTCTCGCGCGTACTCCTAACTTTGTTTTTTCTTTTCACTTATACGTTCAGATGAGTGCAAAGTCCGTTCGCGTTTTCGCCGGCTTAGCTAGGAGAGGAGTGCAGTACTAATTAGCTGAAAGCGCTGCCTGCGTCTCCGAACTTTTCGGCGCTCGTACGGGACAGCTGTGTGCTACGTGGAGCGCGCTTCGTATTTATATATGATGTTTTAGTATATACTTTATCACAAAGGTGTAATGTCAGAGATTATTACTAAAAGGGTATGAGTGGTGAGACTGATTGTTCATCTCGTAGAACATTATTCGACGCCCGTAACCGCGTTCAACTGCTTTCTTTTTTAAGCAGAGATTTGCAGTTTTGATTTTACAAAGGAAGAGCAGAGCCCAGAGATTTCTCAACCATACGAGGTATAAGGTGATCCCATTGAGACACACTACAATTGCATCGTTTTGTTTTCTTTGTGGCCAAAGCAATTTATTTTTTAATCTTAAAGGTCGTTCGTAGCTTGGAGCTTTCTGTTTAGGTCGTTTTGTTGACTTGTGTGTACAAGTAAAACTGCATCATCGCAGATGCCTGGAAATTCGACCGAATGTAACCCCAACCCGTTAAGTGCGAGGCTGAAGCTTCCCTCGATGCTCAAACTAAACGCTCTGACAGATTTTGTTTTGTATTATTATTAAACAATGTAATGCAGGGTCCGCAAGTTGATAATGAATAAAAACTGACGCACAATAAGGTACGTCAGCTTTCCTTTTCGGCCGATTACGTTGCGATGATATCGCGATGTTATTGAACGAGCACCTGTAAGCAAATGATGTTATCGGGCGACGTTTACGTGACTCGCGGAAACTATAGCGGTGAACGGGATGAGCCCTTCCCACAAAGTCCTCCACTCATTCCACCCTGGCAGAGCGAACACCGGAGAGGTGGCAAGGAGAGACTTGCCTCCGCTCTAGCGATCGCTCTGCTCAGGTGGAAAGGGTGTAGAGCTTTGTGGGACCCTCCATAGGACATCATTACTGCCGCTTTCATTGATTATTCTTTCCGTTGCATACAAATCAAAAGAAGCGCCATTGCTATTTTCTTTCTAAATCCCCTGTGAACAGCAACGAGGGTAGAGGATCTTCAAGAATCTAAAGATGCGTTCGTTCAAGTGGCTTGCGATTAACTCGGACGCCTTCTTCCAGGACTCGGGGTTCCGATGAACCGGAGTTTGAGCCCTCTGCGATGGCGCAGCCCAGCCTGGAATGCTTCCGCGTCGTGCCACACATCCACTGCGCGCCGTACTGAAATGTGCAGACATTTTTCGTTGTTACCTTTTTTTTTTTTTTTTTTTTTTTCTGGCGCATTCAGCTTTTGGTTTCCGTCAGCTGGGCGACTCTTTTTCACTCTTTGGGCTTATCAGTATGTGACACATGATCGTATTGAGAAATCGTCCCGATTTCACGAAACGTTGAGTATCTGCCGTTTTTTTACGCAAGACCTCAAAAAATATAAAAATAAACGGAATGCGTGCTTTAAAGTTTTTGCCGACCTTTTCTTTTATTGTGTATTAAACAACGCACGAGATGGTTTTGTTTTTCTGACAATCTGGTTTACGGCTGCGTAGCACAAACTTTTGCGTCCATGAAGCCTCATCGTTCTTTTCTTCTTTTTTTTTTCCCCTCTTTTTTCTTTATGACCTAGTTTTTCTATAAAAACGAACAAACAAATGTCTTAACTATGCTTAGTTTGATCTTTCCGTGTCCTCTGAGGATGCTGCCCTTAAAAAGCCGACTGAAGCGTAGTAATTTCTTACCGATCGATGGATATTCACGTGGTTATGAATATGGATAATGTCGGGATTATCGAGCGATTGATAATTCTGGTATTACCAATCTATGCACAATCCTGCGATTATCAGTCGATAGATTATCCTATCCTTACTAATCGATGGAGAAATCGGGAACTATATCGATATTAACACATGGCTATGAGGGGATTATCGGCGATAGTGTGGGGATTATCGACAGATAACCTGAGAATTGATTCGCCGATGGGTACATGCATCCAGCATCGTGTAGTTTCTGACGCAAATGAACTTTATTATTAATAATATTTATATTATGTGACAGTTCTTCGGCGGTGGTTAATGCGACCTGTAGGGATCACGGCAGGGAAAGCTAAAGGCGGGCTACAAAGATTGAAAGAAAAGATAAGCGTATATTTTTCCAGCTAATCGGCACATGTGGCGGACGCGTCTTGGGAACATCACGATTACGTTATCTCGACCATCCGATTTCCCACCAGCCAGGCACCCTCCATTCCGCGTTTCGTTGTTTTAGTAAAGCCCTACGAGACCTCGCAGACTCTGCAAACTTGATCGAATCTAGAAACTCGATAAAGAAACACGGGACTCGTGATTCGGAACTAACCGATTAAGGAATGCGTTTTCACGCTGCGTCAATTATAATTTCCCCATACTACATGCGCCTAAATATGCGGTCGCTTTCGCTCTTAGGCCTATTTTCGACAGTACGATTATCACGTGGGCGCTTCTTAGGTCGGTGTTTAGCAGAGTTGTAAAAAAAAAATAGAGAGGTGCAATTTTTTCGGTTTTTTTTTTATGTAGTTTGCCGGGCGCGTAGTGCAGCTCTGCTATACTTCGTTTCAGCTTTGGTCCGAGCGTGGCCGATGTTATGACCCAAAGGGCCAATCAAAGAGCGCTAAAAGCGCAACGTCATGGCGTGCTCTCTGCGCTTGATAGGACTAGCCGGCAGAAGAGCGCGCACAAAGAGACGGCGAATCCCGGCTGGTCCAATCAACTGCAGAGAGCACGCCATGACGTTGTGCCTCTTTCGCTGTTTGATTGGCCCCTCGGCTCATAACATCGGCCGCGCTCGGACCGAAGCTGAAACGAAGTATAGGAAAGCACAAGGCCGCTTTTGCCAGCCCTCTTGCTCGGCTATACTCTTGGCTTAGATTGGATTGGCTTAGATGGTTATCTAAGCCAATCCAGTGCCGCGAGTCATGTGACCTTCAGGAGGGGCGCAGTCACGTGGTACTTTCAGAGGCGCGTAGCGGCTGCAGCCGGCACATATGCTGCTAGTATTGGCAATATAAAATAATTGTAACGAAGAGAACTAACGAGTCGTAGATCAAAACGCGTATACGATCTTTGGCCTATTCACGCAAGGCCGATGACTAACGAGAATGGTGTATCTGACGACGATAATAGGCGAGAGTTTTGACAGATGGCATTAAAAACGGTATACGTGAAAACGCAAAGTAAGTTTATCATATTAGGGAGTTCTCGTAGACCGCGTTTCTCCCTCCGCTAAGCCGTCCGCATGGAAGAAGCCGCTACTGCGCCTGCGCGCCGATGGCCTTGACTGTAGACTTTCGGTTATCGTAGCGAGTTACGGAGAGCGTTGCGGGACGGCGAAAACCATCTACGAAAACTCCTTATTTAAAGACGTCATTTGCGGGAATTACGAATGGTAATGCTAGTGATGCTAATGTTCAACAAATGATAATTTGAGAGATCGCGCGTTTTAATGCAGTTTTCTCTGATTCTTTCGCGTATCTTAAATTTCGCTTTTATTACGCGTGCAATGTTGTTGTTTTTTTTTTTTTTTTGTTTTTTTTTTTTTTTTTTAGCGTGATTATTTTTTGCGTTTATAAGAGCGGACTACCGGGCGACCGACCGGAACGCCTCCGCGGTTCGCATCGGACCCGCGGGGGACCCTGCCTTTTTCCGAATTTCGACCAAGTTCGACTTATGGGCAATGTTGTCCGGTTTCAACACAAAAGTGCAAAATTTTCGGGGAAAAAAATAGGAAGTAGTTTATTTTGTAATTTATAAAATGATTACAAATATTTACGCGATATACAAACAAAAAAGGCGGGTACTTTTAATGTTCTCGTTAGTCGGTAATGCGAACCAGCGAAACCA